TCACGAATCTCACGACCGCCATATTCTTTTGTTTTTGTTTCCTTTTTATTTACTAAAAAGGGAGCGACGGCGTGCATGACGCACTGGTTCTCTTTTCATTAAATATATTCGTATCTATATATTTATAATTATTTATATATTTATATAGGTAATAAACTATATGCATATATATATATATATATATACTTATATATATATATATATATATATACTTGTGTATTCGTCGCATTCGAATCGCCAGGACGAAACTCATGCTTCAGGTAACGTCGGCTGCGGCGCACCGTAAAGCGAGAACACACGGGCGCTTCTGTGGCACTTCTTATTCCTTCTCCGTCATTTCCTTCCTTCGCAGTTCATTTGCTTCTTTTCCTTGTGTTTGTCGCCCCCATTTGTTAACTTACAAAAATGATTTATTCCGAAAAAAATAAGGACCAGTATTTCGCCCTCGTTTCTTTCTTCGTTTTTTTCGAACGTATGTTTCCTCTATTGCTTCGTTTCGATCGCTTTCTCCTCCGAGTTTACATTGCCAGTCCATTCTCATCTCGAAAATAAGTAACGCGTGCTATACACAGGATACAAGGGCTCCCTCTATGACCGATCACGGATCCATATTGATCCTTCTTCTTTTAATTTCTTTCACTGTTAGACGAATAACTCTGAATTGACTATAAAATTGGTGCTAGGAGTTTTAAAAAATGCCAGGGCGCCCATTTACGAACCCCCGAACGAAGAAACATAGTGATTAGAGCTTTCGAATATAATTATATCGAATACAACGGTCTCTTCGTTGCTCCCCAGACCACCTTCAATTCTTGCTCCCCACCAGAATAGTCCTTGATCATTGAGAATATACTCGACGTCTCCCGCTGTTTTGCTTTTTTTCTTGCTCGACAATTTTCTCAACGCGCGTTACGTTACTATAATCACACGATTGTCGATCTTCCGTACGTCTTCCAAGTCCACAAAGATCGTTTTATATATCTTTACGTGTACATCGTTGGGTACGTGGCCATGTTTTGTGGGAGAGAAGTAATATAATTAGGGGTGGGCGGTCTGGGGCTATGCCACTGTGGTCAGAGATCTCGAAGCTTCTTTATACCGGCTTGAACGTAGCGCACCAGATCACGCAATGAACTTTTCAATGTGAGGGGTCCCAATCTTTCATCCAGCTCGATGAAGAAATCTGCAAGTACAAAACGACAATACAGACACTTTAGCTATATATCCCTCGAATACGGAAATATGTATATGAATGATCGAATGCTCGAAACTCACCTCTATTCATATCTGTTACCAAAGCGTTTGCCTGGTCCCACAGTTCGAGACAGTTCAGTAGCAGGTTAAATTGGTAATTTTGCTTATTCATAGCGTTATAAATAATATATGGAACACTAACGTACGACGGAGCTGCCTGCGGTTGACCCGAAGCAGCTCCCCGATTTGCTAGTTCACCGCTGCTATATCCGGAACTCTGACTACCAACAGAGCCCACAGAACCAGCTGGTGATGGTGTTGGGGATAAAGATGGCGTCCCTTGTCCTTCTGCTTGTACCGGTGTTGCCTGAGCAGCCTAAAGATAAGATAGTAAAGTTTTATTACATAGTCGAATAACTTGTTATTTTATGATGAAGCGTTCGAGTCCGGCACACGTACCTTTTGATGGTACTCATTGAGAATTCTTTGGGTCTCTTTGATTTCGTATTTGCGCATTCTGTACAGCTTCAAATATATGAGGGATTGACAAAAGAGACTAAAACAAACGAGACACAACAATGTTTTGAAACACGCTCGTACAATCACGATAGGCGGAAAAAGCTCAAAGTGCGTGCTCACCTTAGAATGACCAGCTTGTTATGTATATTACTCTCTGTCGAGTTGCTCTGTTGGCTCTTGAACTTAGAGGAGATGTATCTAAGTAGAGCAAGTGGAAATCGGAAATAACTTTAATTAGGAGATACTCTTCGTTCTAGTTCAAGGGTAATTTTGAGATGTACTCACTTGATGAGACTAAGTGTATCCTTGTACATGGTGAACGATGCCCTCTCCGTGAGAGAATCCGCCTCCATGGCATTTCCAGTGAGCAGGAAACAGAGAACGGCTTCTAGATAAAGCATACCCTGCGCCGTGAGTTCGCATTCCTTGTCAGCGCTATGCTTTAGCCGCTTCGCTTCCATCAGGTACTGATTCTGGTCCCTACTAGCACGTGAACATACGAAGTCAATTCAGGTGTCCATACTATCGGCACAAGTTTAGCGCACGTGGTTTCAACCGAGGCAATGTAACATTCACTTACCACCTATCCTGATCCTCCAAAACTTCATTCTGAGGATTAAAGTAGGAATAATACACTCGTTGAGGCGGAGGTGGTGGCGGTAATAAACTGGTGTCAAGTTTCTCTTCCCGTTCGTGGTTGGTTGGTTGTATTTCACTTTGCTGTTCAACAAAAATGTCATCGTTCAACAAACTTGAACGTTATTAAACGAAATGGGAAATGAAAAATGTCATTTATTTAGTACCTGACTTGAAGATGGCCTAGGTGTAACTGATCCGGCATCAGAATGTTTCCTCTTTCTCTTCCTCCGCTCTTTGTGCTCTCCCGACTCTTTCGTTTTAGTCTCCGCGGAACACACAGTACCGAAACTGGACACTGAACTACAACTCGGGCTACGTTTCCTCTTGGGCAGGCTACCCGCACCACTACCACATCCACTAGCACCTGCACAGACGACACCAGCCCCGAAACCGATGCCGCAATTACTCTTCGTGTCCGATATGAGTTCGCCCTTGATCACAGCGCGATTCTTAAGGTCACCGTCGACCAACAATACGTCACCGTGAATCCTCGTGTCGGAGGCTAGTTGTTGAGGCGGTGGCGTATCGACAATCTCCCCTTCCTCCGGCGTAGGCGGTCGAGGGGCTTGTAAAGTCAGCGTCGAGGCTTGTCTCGA